ATGAGAAGGCCTTGATCCTGTATGAGAAGCTACTACGCATCTCCATGGATAAGTTCTTCAGCACATATGAGAATAGACCAAGACATCTGAAAACGCAATCTGGTCTAATACAGAAAGCCATAGAACTGAAGAAAGCATTACAAATCGATAACAAACCAAAAAGCCTCTCTCTCCCCATGAACCCATTAGCAGACACTGATGTAGTGTGTAGCACCCAACTGCTTGACTACTTCAGGAAGTCAAACACCATTCGTTTCACTTACATAAAAAAGCAAACGTTGGTTTAGATTTCTACTCTGAACTCTTTTCTTTCTACGCAGCAGTAGGACACAATAGATCCGCTTTTGAAGGAGAAATAGAGGCCATTAGGATAGCACTATGCCAATTATGTTGCCTGGATACGAAATTCACCAAAGCGGTGATACTTTCAGACTCACAATCAGCAATAAACTCAATCGGAAACAGAGAGCCTTTCAAAACAGCTGAGATAACGGAATGTAGAAAACTCTATGAGCTGCTGAGAGAGAAAAACAAAGCGCAGTCCTACAATGGATTCCTGAACACTGTGGCATTAAAGGCAATGAGCTTGCTGACACACTTGCTAAGAAGGGGACAACGATTTTGCAATGCATGGACCAGCCGATGTCTTTCCACACAATGAAGGCCTTAATCAAGAGAGGATTCAAGACCTCAAGGTGCAACGAACTCAAAGCTCGAACAAAGGAGAAACAGTGGACAGTGACACTCCCCGATATAGCCGACTGGCCAAGAATCGAAGCCGTTGCTAAGTTTAGACTACGTGCCGGACACGATTGCCTGGCAAAAATCCTTCACAGATTAGGCGTATACACTCAACCCACATGCCCTGTATGTAACCTACAGGAGGAAATGGAGAAGACCCACCTGATTCGGTGTCCAGCCCTGAAGACAATGACGGAAAGCCAGAGATACTGGGAAGCAAGAAGACAGCTAATGAGCAGCTATTAATTAACTGCTATACATGTACCCCCCCCCCTACCCATGGAGGAAGCTGAAGTCAGAGCTTAAGGGCTAATGATAAATGTCATAAAGCCTGCCATTCGAACAAAAATATTAACAATAAGCCATGGAAGATTACTGTCCTACAACGCACTAAAATGAGATAATGGGTACAAGTGAATGATCAAAATGGAATCCAAAGTGTGGCTTCCAAGGGGAACAGCAAACGAAATGAAATCAAGGTAATATCGGGTTAGTCGTAGTTTCAAATGATGGAGGGTTCCCTTTAAGGCATCCATTTATTCAGTCTCCATTATTGTGGGTGGAATTGTGTTGGACCGGCTTAATCTTTGACTGTCGGAGGAATGTTGTACACTATTTAAACTATAAGAGAATTGAGTTGCCATTTTTCTGATGGAATATAGTTTTGTTAGGCATAAATCAACTCTCCAAAAGCTCATTTTATTTAATTAGATCAATGGATTTCTGATAGCATACTTTATCACGATTTTGAAGTTCGCTCAACAATTGATTATGGAAATTCGAACCATGCGCGTATTATCATAGCCATATGTAAGTAACTATGCCTGACACAGTCTTTTAAACTACAACAGAGTTCACAAGATCTCACAAGCAACGTAAAATCGTATAAAAATTTATTTTGTGCATTTAATTTCTAATGCCTTTTCAACCTTTTCTTTGAAGGAAGCTGAAGTAATATGGTTACAATAATTTTAATGATATTTTACGCTATCACCATCACCTAAAAGCCGATAAATCTCTTAGGTGGAAGAAAACTACAGCTTTCTTTTGTTATCACTGAAAGTAATTACATTTCAATGATTATTAAACTCTGAATTCATTTAATCAAGTGAAATGATTGCTTACAACAAATTATAAACCACACTAAATTCTACAGGAAACCTCACATCTAAATTTATCCTTCCATGTAGAATTTCGTCTTAAGCACCACATGCAGTTTTCTCTTTCATTCACGATTCCATTTAAATATTCAGGAAAGTAGTCAGATTACTGATTCGTTTTTGGTCTTCCCCTATTTTCAGTCGGTAATTCCTCTAAAGATATTCCACCCAGCGTTCGTTGTGAGAACTTTAAAAGTGTATTTATAAGTGTTTAAACCGAATCAGAGATGACCCAAAACCTTAGTTAAACTGAAATACCAAAAGAAATGAATGCCAATTCGGAATTAAAAGCAAGAATGACCTGGAGACGAGTTTCACTGAGAGCCAAATTCGATCAAACTTGTAGTCCCATATTCAAATCATGCGAATACAGTCCCATGCCAGCCAATGAGTTCTCTTTTAAGTGACTAAGATATGTTTAGGTAATTGAAGTGATCCAATGTGAGTTTAACAGAGATGTGACATAAAAGAGCAAATTGAGCTTGTGAATTTTTTTTGTTTCAACTGAAAATATTAGTAAGTCATTGTACTAAACTAAGCAAATGCTAAAACACTTAATAAAGTATATTGTTTTGCTCTAATTCTTTCAAAAATTGAAGCTCAATAAAGTACCTTGAGCTGTTCTTTGTTAAAATAACTCAGATGTCCTTTGAACATCCTTTTCCACTTGCAAAGTCCATAAAGTACTGGAGAAGTTCATTCAAAGCATCAACTTATTTCTATCTATTGCATTAAAAATATAGCTCGCAACTTTTAAATTGAGATCCAAATTAAATCTTTTAATCGATACCATGCAGATTATGTGCTAAAAGGGTAGTTCAATTACCGAGTTTTCACTCTTATGTTACGTGCCCCGGCATATCTACATTTCTTCAGTACTCCCTCGCCCATTTTTAGATCCTTGTGGCCTGTCTTGTTACTCAGGTGTGCATCTTTAGTTTTAATGATTATTAAGTGGGGTGTACAATAGATTTACCTCCACGTGGTGCACCCTGGGCAACGTATTCTCATACGGCAAAAGAGTCTATTAACCGGCAGTTGACTTCTCACTTCAAACTACCATCACCCCACTCTATAACATATTCAACTACTTCCACAGTACTCACCTCACATTTTTTTCTACCTTTGCGTCTGCCCGTTTTACATCCTTGAAACACTCTTCTATCCCACCACCTCCTCTCAACTTGTTTCACTTGGATGTTCCTCATCTCCTCAGTGAAGTCTGAAGTCAGCTAAAGGGCTAGTGATAACTATCAAAACGCCTGCCATTTGATATCAATAAAAAAATTGATTACCAAGTTACCATGGGAGACACGGCAACTTTTAAAATACAGCAATGATAATCATAAAATGTAGTTCTTTGAATACTTCAATTTGTTATGCTTTTGTTATGGCCTAATTGGTGGGCGCGATGCAGGCAGAATTTATCAGCTGCTAATAAAATTGGACGTCTTTAAGAGGCATAAATATGCCATCTATTGACATTCAACGACTTTTCTCATCTTATATAACTGCCAACGGTAACGTTCAAAATTCGCAACTTTATGAAAGTAAACCTTCCTAGCCGAATTCCTACTTTGAAAATGATTATCAAGCCTCAAGTTTTACGTTCAGCAAGAAAAGAATGGCGATTTTGGTATCTTGGGCCAATTGCTTTTATTACGAGGGTCAAATTAAAACTGGTGCTTTTTATGTTCACTAGTTCTTCACCTACCAACCCTTTAGAGGACTCAGTTCAGCCAAGTCTTCGTTTTTTAAGAAGCACCAATGGTATTGACCTGCAATGTTGGTTTGGAAAAGTGGAGGTTTGCTTGTGTCTGCGTTTTTGAAGGCCCGGAAATTCGCAGACAATTTCGCACTTATTAAAGAAAATTTGTTCTCAAATTTTTGCTTTGTTCAAACTATTCACAATTAGAACCTACTACATAGGCTACAGATATAGGATTGTATTGCCTTCTAATAGAAAAACTCTCCATTTTCAAAGATCCAATCGCCTGAATAATGACTATTAGTATTAAATGTTTAATAAGTTCAAGACATTTATCTAAAGTTTAAATGAACACAAAAGCCAATTGGATTGAAAAAAGATGGTATATTTTTAGCGTTAGTGCATGCAAATTGAGGAAAATGCAAAAGTTGTGGAACGTGGGGAGTAAGGCGACAGTAGGGAGAGAATTTGAGGACAATTGGACTATTTTTTTCTATTTCTTCTTTTCTAGGGATTTTTCCAACTTCTCCTTGATTTTCTCGAAACGCTCACTTTCGGTGTAGTCAATTTCTCCACGCTCCCATTTGGCCATACTTTTGCCCGGTGGGCTTGGATCACGTTGCATATTCACTATCGGTCCGTGCGTCACTTCCATTTGCGCGAGTTCTCCAACTCTGCCGGTCTGCGCGGATGGATGAAATGTGCAGGATTAAATGATAAAGGAAATTTATGTTGATCGAGCCAAAAAAATGACTCTTATGACTAGACAGAAAGTGCAGCATTCGATTACATACACACTCCTGTTGCAATTATTTAATATTTTTAATCATTTCTGAGACTGAAATATTTAAGAAAATGGAAATAAATTATTGTTAATTATGGTTGAGAGTCATAAATTAAGTAATCGCTTTGGTAGTCATTTCAGCAATAACTTTTAATTAAGTTTTTGATATTCTGTTTTAAGCAAACTAACTTATTTTGCCCACTCGAACAAATAAGAAATTCGGTGAAAATACACATTATCAACATCGCTAGCATTGAAGCTCTTAACTTAGGGCTTAATTTAAAGGATGTGATAGAAGAAATTGAACAAAATTAAAACTGTAGCGATGAGGAGAAATTTATCGGAAATGTAAAATGTTGATCCAGACGGTGGAACGTATCCGGTAAAGGAATACAGATCTCCCCAATTAAAATATAAGCGCAAACTTAATGGCTACCGAGACTGGTAATTATTCCTATTATTATGGATAAATTTTTGAGATAATAGATAATCAATATAAGTTGCTTAGTTTCAATATTGGCGGTTGGTGAAATTCAATATTATTAATTTCATTAAAAAATATGAAATATACCACCTTACCACTTTTGGCTCATTTTCACATTTTATTTCTGTCTCCATATCTAAAAGTTCAAAGGTCAATTTATAAAGTGCAAATAATTTAAAGCACACATTTTTTTCGGTTAGAAGTGCTACAAATCTAATCTTACCGGCTTTCGATTTCGGCTAAAATGGAAATGTATTTGTGTGTCATTATGGAAATAGTAAATCAATTGACAATGACATAAGTGAGTTTATAATTTTCAAAAGGCAATGCCCAATTAAAGATGATTTAAGTCATATTAATTAAAAAGTTTTGCTGATACATCTTGCTTTCTATGCATAATCGGCTTACGAATGACTTTAGAAGGATAGGCTAGTGAAAGCGTCTATATCTCCTAAAGTCGTCTAGACAATCGTTTTCCAACCCGTTCCTTGAATACAGAGGTAGCATGATGGAGCGTTTCAAACTGAATTTAGACGCAAGGGTTGTTTTTAAGTACTACGGGCAATTATAAATAGGAAGTGATGTCGAAATCTCTAAAATTAACCAATGCAGACATAAACTGTTGAATAAAAATATTGGATCTACATTTTTAAGTCTTAAGTATGAAATGCTGTCTCTTAACAACGAATTATAAGCCTACATAAGTTTATACTATGGAGTAAAACTGGTTGGGCTTCTACTTTACGTTTGCCTATTGATAGACTCCGAATGCTTTTCTATTGTTCATAATTGTGCCTAATTTTACTTTACCATAAGAAATGGTGACACAACTTGTTGTGTAATCTCAAGACCAGGGTTTGAAAATGCATACAACAACAATAACAACTCTTATTCATCTATTTGAAATGGTTCTAGATTGAAGGTTAAGCGGGTAAAATATAAGTGTAGACAACTAACCCAAAATGATTTTATTTGAGGTTGAACTTCGGTGAGGAAATAATGCCACCAGAGATTTAGGAACCTCAGAGATTGGGGATCGATATATTCACGAATGTTCAAGCCACCTGTATGTTTATTAATGGAATATTTCCAGGGTTTATTTTGTCCAATAAAGTGAATAACGCGAACACTCCACCCAAAATTCTTGAGAGCCGGCAAATAGGTATAGAAGGTGTGGGTACAGCAGTTATCGGTGTATGGCAGTCGATGCTTTGCCCCTTGTACGCGCCAGTGAGGAAAAAATGCATTAAGAAGTCCCTAAATCAGAGTAATTGTTAAATATCAATGGGATATTAGAGGTCTGGTGGATGAAATGAGATATATCTAACCTGATCACCCCCATCGAAGCTGCCTTCTTTAAGCGCAAAATCTAGCAGAGCCCGGTAGGTGTCCAAGCTTGGCGTGAAGACGAAAACACCTGAGTTGAAGCAGTCAGGCCATCCTGGATCCGGAGCGGCAGTGATCTCCTCCCCTTTAAACATGTCATCAATATTTTGGATAACCATTGTATCAGCATCCATGAAGACACATTTAGTGTATTGTTTCAGACGCCAGCAATGAAGTTTTGTGAAGGTGACACCGAGATCAATTCTTTTAAGGAGTTTCAAGTTTTCCTCATCTCTGCTATCAAGCACATCTACCATGACAACTTCATCGAAAGCCTGCCTAACTACCTCCCTATTTATGATCACCGAGGATAAGAAAAGAATATGACAACTTACACGATGGGATTGTCGACTGTGTTAGTAACCATGCAGACAATCTTTTTGTTCGTTTTTGTATGCCTTAAGGAGGCTGCCAGAACCATGGCTCCCACAGCGTATTCATTACTTGTTGCCAAAGTGACAAAAGCCTCAGTCACTAAAATGGAAAGATAGGGTTTTGAAATTGAATCAAAGTGGTAATTTGAGGTATGAGAATTGGAGACTCACTTTTAATGTGTCTGCTCTAGTAATTCACACCACGAGGGCACCTACTTATATAGGCTTTGTATGCATCGCTGAATAAAACGATAATGTCATATTAAAATTTCCAATTCCTTTATTTATTATTTCGAATATTTAACTTTTTCCAAATATTTACTTGAAATTTTAAACTTAATAATATATGTAAAAAATAATATACAATAGTTTTAAATAGTAATTTCATGCATGCTTTCAGTTTATTAAGACGCATTTGTAATTTGTTACCTTATGACAAACTATATGCTTTTAAAATTATTTCCGTAGTGTTTACATTAATCCAAAGTATTTCGCAACTAAATAAAATTTCATTTCATCTTACAATCTAATAGAAGCGGGCTCTTCACCAATTGTTTTAAATTGCAATTTTATACCAACATAGCTTAAGGCGCAGCAAATAATTTTGGAAACGTCTAAGCATTTGGCATATCGATTTAATTAGGCGGAACATATTTTCCATTAAAATCACTATCGAATGCATTAGGAGCTGGTGTTTTATAAAATGGAAAAGACAATATTTGCCGACAGAGCGAAAAACTACAAATCCTTTGTTAATTGCATTGCTTATTCCACGGAGTGCTCTTGTGGCTTATTCCCTGTGTCAAACTTTTGCCTTAATGCATGACAAAGTTGAAACACAATGACATTTTGCTTCAAATTCAAGATACTCGGTCCGATGGGATATTGATTTTCATTAAGGTTATCTGAGTGGGACCTAAGATCAAAGGAATGATTGCTTTTGGCCTATGTGTGGATATTACCAATACTTTCGGTGAAGTAGCAACACAAAGTTGCTTAGGTCGTTCCGCACAAGTAGTTTTTTCTTCATATGTTTTACGATCATGAAATTCTGTTGAAATTTCTCACATTGAAGTGTAGATAGGTGCTGTATCTCATTAAGGGGAATATACGCATGACTTGATTCCTATTGTCTTCAATGCATTGGATGGACATTCTATTCACGCAAAGTTAGGAAGAATGAGGAGATTTGTTGAGAGCATTAGACAATTTAAGGCAAATAAAATCCCATTTTTAGCGAAAATTTCGCATTTCTTCTCAACCCGAAACTTTAAAGTGAGGTTTTTAAGGCATCCGCTGAAAACTCTAGAGGAATAATTTAATTTAAATTCTCTTTGAACTTAGGTATATTGTTCCCTCCTTTTGATCCCTCTTTCTCTCCCATATTTATTCAAGTTACCGACATAGTTGACTGGGAATTTTCCTTTGCTCTGGAGCGTTATGGCTACTTTCATAATTTATTTTATAAATGATAAACTAATTGCGAAAAAAACACATGTTTCGGCAGTGCATATCAAATTTAAGCACATTGAAGGCGTTGGAAGTGTAAAAACGAATGCAAGTTTTGCTAACAAGACGTATGAAAATTTGAATAGTCGGCCGGAATTATGATAAGGCAATATCTAATTTAAAAGTGAGACAATCTGGCTTGAAAGTGCTTGAAAAAATTTATTTTATAAAAGTTGTCGCCGCAAATGTGTATAAGACGAAAAGATTTATGACACGAAGTGAGTTATGAAATAGTGAATTTTTACAGTTTTTTAGCCGTGTTTCATCACATCTTGTTTTTCATCTCTTGAATCTGTTTACTGAATTTCATCACCTCACTCATATTGATTGCCTTCATTTCGATCTTCATGTTCATCACTTCACAAGCTGAAAGACCTCAATTTCAAAATTATCTATTCCATCTCAACATTTAGTACAGTGGTTTAGGTGGGCCATAACGGACTTCTTTGATCATAAGCTCCATTGCTATTGATTCTTTGAGATGATGCTTTTGAATCATTGGTTGACCGACTTTATCGACGTCGAAATAGAATCTTCCTTAGGAGACCCTGTTATTCAAATTGTTATTTTGTCCGATCAGAAAAAATGCATTCCATTCCATAGTTAGTAATGTCAAGTGAAAGATATGTTATCAAGTATTGGTAAGTTAACTTTGCTAAATGTGCTAATCGCACGATTTCCTGACTTAGCCTGAGAAGTACTTCTATCGAGACGTTTCACGTTGCCGTTTGTTTGTTTGTTTCTTTTTTCAATTGTTCATTCAATCATATTGTTTAACCATAGAGGGCCTGACGAAATTTATGGGGGAAAATAGTGTGAAGATTGCTCATTATTCACTGCCAATCGAGAAAATAATCAACTATGGAACCAAATTTGCGAAAATTTTCAGGAATGGGAAAAAATCTTCCATTGGAGACAAAATCAACATATCATCATTTCAAGTGGCAGGCGTTTTGATAGTTAATATTAGCTCATTAACTGACTTCGGGCTTCACGGAGGGAAGGAACATCAAAGTAACAGAAAGTCGAGGGGTGGGGCACAGATGTAAAAGAGACAAACAGAAGCAAAATTAGAGAAAAGGTAAGATGAGTACTGTTAAAGTGGTTGAATATGATATACACTCGGGTCATGGTAGTTTGAAGTGAGAAGTCAACTGCCTGTTAATAGACTCTTTTGCCATATGAGTATACGTTTCCCAGGGTGCACCACGTGGAGGTAAGTCTATCGCACACCCCAAATCAACATATCATGATATTGGGTATTAAGCTAATTTTGCCCATAGGGTCACATTGACATTACCAGGCCATCCTCTTTTTCAGACTCCTATAAAATTTTTCTCCCCTTCAGTTGTAACGTGTAAACCGGATCTCCACTCTGAGCCATCAATTCCATATTAACTTTGAAATAAACTCTGGTAGTTGAGTTTGAAGCTTTACATTATTTACTCTTTGTTCTCTTGTTTCTGTTCAATCGTCCAATAGAATTCTAGACCATCTCCTCTTACTTCTCTTCCGGTAGTTAAGAATGCAATACATCTAGGTTTAATTAAAAAACCCGCGCTACCTCCCCCGTTGCTTTTACTGTAAGGCATTTATTCGTTAATATAATAGATTTTCCTTTCGATAATTGGCCAGTGACAAGCTATTCACAAACAAAGAGTTTGAAACTACTTCCATTGATTTAAACTTAGATTTCATTGAAGCTTCCTGTGGTTTCAGTCTGTTTTCTTTCTTTCAAGTTCTCGCTGCTGAAATTTAAAGTTTAATAAATAGATTACATACTTATTAGAGGCGTCTAAAGTCGATATTTTTGGGTTCAGGATTTGCTTGATGTGGTGTCTTGGAATGAGCTGGGCAGCTAACCAGTTTGTGATGTTTCAAGTAAATGCCTTTTCCCAGCATCATATGTACCCAAGGTCTTCTGTGGGTTCTGGTTCAAGCATAGTTTCCTGATTTTAAAGAAATTCCCTTTCCCAGGTCCTCCATGAGTGTGTGTTGGACGAGAAGGAAGATAACCGATTAAATCCTTAAAACTATCAAGAAATTTCAGTTATATTTGCTTTGGAAGTGGTGGCTAATTGTCCTTTTAGCGGCACAGACAATACTTGCTTATCTTTTAACCAATTCATTAACGTTGTCACCTTCTAAGCACATTGTGAAATTATTACTATCTGGAAGTTGAAATTTTCAAAAATAAGCCCCATAAGATAAATAAATTTGAATGACTTAGAGGAAGAAGGAGGGAGTTTATTCGACGCTTTTGACAAAAATGGAAGTATCTGAGATAAGGATATATATTTGAAGAACGGGGGTGTGCGATAGACTTACCTCCATGTGGTGCATCCTGGGCAACGTATAATCATACGGCAAAAAAGTCTATTAACTGGCAATTGACTTCTGACTTCAAGCTACCATAACCCCACTGTATGTCATATTCCACAATTTCCACAGTACTCACCTCACCTCTGTCCCTACCTTTGTGTCTGTCTGTCTCCTCTTCATCTGTGAATCACTCTTTTGCTCCCCCTCTCGAATTTTTCTCACTTTGATGTTCCTCCCTCTGTAAAGCCCGAAGTCAGCTAAATGGCTAATGATAACTATTCAAAACGCCTGCCATTTGGAATAATAATAATATTTGAAGAACAAAAGAGCTAACGAATAGGAATAACTCCAGTTTTGGAGTTGGGCTGAATTTTTACTCTCATCTCAATAATAATTACAGATGCACCTCAAAATGATTTAAGGTGGTTCCAGTGCTGAAATGTCCCAAGGAATTGGATAGAATCGCTAATTTTACCAAGGAAAATCAGCATTATTTTGAATTAATTTCTTGTTATAACTGAGTTTTATAAATTTTTTTCCTATTGAGAGGTCAATTACCGGTTTCATAACATAGTTTCATAATTTCAAATCACTCAATGGCGTCTGGAAAATCGGAATATTGAAAGAATTCAGCCGGAGACTATTCAAAGTCAAGAGAGTGGCATAGATGAATACGATGTTGTCATATCAAAAAGACATCATACACCATATAAATTCGCGGGAGTTTTGAGTTGCTCTTTCTCTTCTAAAGGCAAAGTGCTCACTTTAGACTTCCGAAATGCCCCAAAGCTACATTTTTGTGATTTTTTGCCTTCTCTCATCTGAAAAACAAACACAAACACAAGAGCATTAATCAACTCTTCCTAATTAAATTTTCCATCTTAAAATTCATCCAATTTCAAGGCTGTTTTATGAGCTACTTAGAAACTCTTAATCTTTAAGGGTAGGAACCTCCTTTGACAGCGCAAATTTTGAAAGACCTGTCCCTCACAAACTTTGGGAGCTCCAAACAAAAATTCATAGCCTTTGATTCCAGATTCATTTGCCATGAGCCCCTGTGTGAGTTCATAAGCAGGATATTCAGTTATAACTTCTGCGAAGCCACGAAGTTTCCCTTGTAAGGCCCGAAACAGGCAGATGACATTGTCAAAAGCCAGTATTGCTCATGTTTAATTAATAAAAATTCACCTCCTCTTCTTCCAATAATACTGTAGAATTTATGTACTATGGTGGTTGCATAAAGTGAAGCCTAACTTTATTGAATCCAGTGGGATCAACTAAACTTTCGAGTTGACCAGCCAACTGGGATGAATTAAAAAAAGATTAGTTATCAATTTATAACTGCCTAACTAAAGACCAATTAGCTCTAGAAAGGTGTAAAGCAAGAGTTAATGGGGATGCCCAAGAAATAACCTGAAATTTCAAAAGCCTATTCCAAGGATATTGCTTATATAAAGGTTCTCATCTTTACGTAAAATTATAGCTTTGAAGACAATCGGAGTACAACAAGAATTCAAGCAATGAAACTAAGATTTTCAAATGAATCAGTGGTTATTGGGTCCACCTTCTTTAAAAAACATTAATAGGGTCGTTAAAAAGAGTGTTGAATGCATGAATTCGAATTCGAATTGAAATTTTCAAGGTCGCTAAGCGGTATATGCATCAGTCAATTAATTTTAAAGACTTGGAATCTTTCACCTCAGATGATTTGATCTAACAGTGCTTTAGAACTTAAGCTAGCTTCGTCTGATTAGGTAGGAATCGTATAGTTTTTGAGTTTTCTGAACTAAGATTTGCTATATTTTTTGTCAGCAATTTTTACTATCTTAATTGAGGAATTAGAAAAATCCGAAGAGCCACCATTTTTGTTGGCTCTTTGACAATTATATGAGGTAGATCGAGACTATTGGCTGAACCAGAGTTCTCTACGATTAGAAAGAAGCAATCAAGAATTCCACAACCTGGATTTTAATCTAATTGGCTTATGACCACGAGAAAACTGTCCTCTCTAAGAGGACCATCAGATATTATATCACTGCAGCATCTGATAACACTGGTGTGATTTCACTAAATAATTTTAAATTTAACTTGTTCCGTATATTTATTTATTTCAAATGTCAGGCATTTTGATAGTTATCATTAGCCCTTTAGTTGACTTATTTGATAGTTATCATTAGCCCTTTAGTTGACTTCGGGCTTCTCAGAAGAGAGGAACATTACAGTGAGAAAAATTTGACAGGGGGAAAGAAGAGCGATTCACAGATGTAACAGACAGACAGACAGACACAAAGGCAGAGAAAAGGCTAGATGAGTACTGTGAATGGTGTTGAATATGACATACAGTGGGGTTATTGAAGTTTGAAGTCAGAGGTCAACTGCCAGTTAATAGACTTTTGGTAGTTTGAAGTCAGAAGTCAACTGCCGAATAATAAAGTGGCAGTTTGAAGTCAGAAGTCAACTGTCGGTAAATGTAATTTTGCATAGTTTGAAGTCAGAAGTCAACTGCCAGTTAATAGATTTAGTAGTTTGAAGTGAGCATACGTTGCCCAGGGTGCACCACGTGGAGGTGCCGTTTGAGTATACGTTGTCCAGGGTGCACCACCTGGAGGTAAGTCTATCGTGAGTATACGTTGCCCAGGGTGCACCACGTGGAGGTGTATGAGTATACATTGCCCAGGGTGCACCACGTGGAGGTAGCCGAATGAGAATACGTTGCCCAGGGTGCACCACGTGGAGGTAAGGTGTAGTATACATTGCCCAGGGTGCGCCACGTGGAGGTAAGACCGTATGATTATACGTTGGCCAGGGTGCACCACGTGGAGGTACCTTTTGCCATATGTGGATACGTTGCCCAGGGTGCACCACGTGTATACGTTGCCCAGGGTGCACCAGTTTGTTTGCCGTATGAGTATACGTTGCCCAGGGTGCACCACGTGGGCAGTTTGAAGTTGGGTGATGGCAGTTTGAAGTGAGAAGTCAACTGCCAGTTAATAGACTTTTGGTAGTTTGAAGTCAGAAGTCAACTGCCGAATAATAAAGTGGCAGTTTGAAGTCAGAAGTCAACTGTCGGTAAATGTAATTTTGCATAGTTTGAAGTCAGAAGTCAACTGCCAGTTAATAGATTTAGTAGTTTGAAGTGAGCATACGTTGCCCAGGGTGCACCACGTGGAGGTGCCGTTTGAGTATACGTTGTCCAGGGTGCACCACCTGGAGGTAAGTCTATCGTGAGTATACGTTGCCCAGGGTGCACCACGTGGAGGTGTATGAGTATACATTGCCCAGGGTGCACCACGTGGAGGTAGCCGAATGAGAATACGTTGCCCAGGGTGCACCACGTGGAGGTAAGGTGTGAGTGTACGTTGCCCAGGGTGCACCACGGACTCTTTTGCCGTGTATACGTTGCCCAGGGTGCACCAGTTTAGACTTTTTTGTCGCATGAGTATACGTTGCCCAGGGTGTACTCATGGTAGTTTGAAGTCAGAAGTCAACTGCCGGTTAATAGATGGTAGTTTGAAGTGAGAAGTCAACTGCCAGTTAATAGTATGGTAGTTTGAAGTCAGAAGTCAACTGCCGGTTAATAGGGATCTTTTTGCCTTATGAGTATACGTTGCCCAGGGTGCACCACATTTTGCCGTATGAGTATGCGTTGCCCAGGGTGCACCACGTTTGTTTGCCGTATGAGTATACGTTGCCCAGGGTGCACCACGTGATAGACTTACTTGCCGTATGAGTACACGTTGCCCAGGGTGCACCACGTGGTGCCTTATGAGTATACGTTGCCCAGGGTGCACCACGTGGAGCCGTATGAGTAAACGTTGCCCAGGGTGCACCACGTGGAGCCGTATGAGTATACGTTGCCCAGGGTGCACCACGTGCCGTTTGAGTATACGTTGTCCAGGGTGCACCACCTGGAGGTAAGTCTATCGTGAGTATACGTTGCCCAGGGTGCACCACGTGGAGGTGTATGAGTATACATTGCCCAGGGTGCACCACGTGGAGGTAGCCGAATGAGAATACGTTGCCCAGGGTGCACCACGTGGAGGTAAGGTGTAGTATACATTGCCCAGGGTGCGCCACGTGGAGGTAAGATAGCTTGAACTCAGAAGTCAACTGCCGGTTTATAGACTTTTTTGTCACATGAGTATACGTTGCCCAGGGTGCACCACGTGGAGGTATGTCATTTGAGTATACGTTGTCCAGGGTGCACCACCTGGAGGTAAGTCTATCGTGAGTATACGTTGCCCAGGGTGCACCACGTGGAGGTGTATGAGTATACATTGCCCAGGGTGCACCACGTGGAGGTAGCCGAATGAGAATACGTTGCCCAGGGTGCACCACGTGGAGGTAAGGTGTGAGTGTACGTTGCCCAGGGTGCACCACGGACTCTTTTGCCGTGTATACGTTGCCCAGGGTGCACCAGTTTTTGCCGTATGAATATACGTTGCCCAGGGTGCACCACGTGTGCCTTATGAGTATACGTTGCCCAGGGTGCACCACGTGGAGCCGTATGAGTAAACGTTGCCCAGGGTGCACCACGTGGAGCCGTATGAGTATACGTTGCCCAGGGTGCACCACGTGCCGTTTGAGTATACGTTGTCCAGGGTGCACCACCTGGAGGTAA